TCCTCACAGCCACCTCCAGGACGATGGCATTCCCATTGCCTGGGCTCAATGTACAGTATGTGACCTTCTCTTTTGGCATGTTGGTTCTCTCTCAAGCCTGTGAGAGTTTACATTTCCTACGAGCGTTGGGATGCCTGATATATCTCTGTCGACCTTCATCAAGAGAGGGTTTGCTCTTTAACCAATGGAGGTTGTGAGACAGTTGTCAAGGCAAACACTGTCATGTGGTAAAAAGCCAAGATCTCCTGAAGATCTGCTTGATGAATCATCTGCAATTTGCTAAAGACCTGAGATCGTGTGATATTTGCAATCCCTTTTGATGTATGAAGCAGGCCCAAAATGTTTTCCAAGGGAAATGTGAGGAGCTTCATTACTGTAGCTGGGATGACCTGGGAATATAAGAAATGTAGAATTTTTCGTTATGATGTGACTCTAAAAAGATAATGGAAACAAATTCTTCTTTCCTGGGGTTAGATTTTTTTATTATTGTCACATTTGTTCAAAAGCTTAAATAAAACCTGGGAGGAAACCTATCCCTTTTAAAGAAAAGCACACCCACACCTCCAAAAAGAGGCTGAGAAATCTTGTAATGAAAGACTAAAAATAAAATTGTCTAAAATTAGCCTAAAGTAAACCTTCCACTCAAATCAGACACACTAGGATGTGTCATCCCTGACATTTTAAAGATAAAAATACTAAACTCTGACACACTTTTTAAAGGAGCAAAACTATTCTTGTGCTAATAATTGACCATTATAGGTATCCTCAGTAGAAGCCAGCTATTGAATATCTCCCCTTTCCTTTCACTGCTGAAAGGATCGGTGCATTTTCTTAGGCTGATGTGTTTAATGAAGTGTTACAGCCTCTGCTTTGAAAGCCAAGTGGACTTTGCCTGCATCTTAGGCTATTCTTATGCTGTCCTCTGTAGGACGTTGAGGAGAGAGATGCTTAGCCAGCCAATAATAAATAATAAGCAGGTGGACTTAGTGTTTAGGTCATCTCTGTGTGTCATCTATGATGCACAGAATAAACTAACGTTAAGGAGTTTGAGCTTCTCACCATGTCCAATAGCTATTCAATGAAATCCTCCTCTATTCCTTTGCCCTGTAACCATCTCACCTGGCTTTTCCAGATGAGTAAATGAGATGCTGTGAGTGCTAGATGGGAAAAGGTTGGCAGATATTTGGGCTATGCATGTCTCACAGGTTAGGTCAATATGTTTCCTGTAGCCAGCCCTCTGTCCTGGGAGATCTTAATCCATCTGAATTCAATCCAAGCAATCACAGGAGCGATTTGCTGCTTCTTTCACTGAGATCTGTGCTTGTGGGAGCCGTGGTTTAGCTGACAGTGCTCTGTCACCTCTTGCATTTGTTGGCTGGCACACTGAATCACTGCTTTTGGGACTGTAGCTAAGTCCAGGATTAGTAGTAGTTGTGCGTCTCATCTGCGCAGCATCAGAGCTTATGAGCCCCTGAGAGTTCAGCTTGATTGATGCTTGGGTGAGAGGCCAAGGAAACCTGAGGCTCCCAGGAAAGGAATTTAGTGAGTCAGTCAGTGGAAACTGCCCTCCAAGCTTGTCCTAAATCCCTGACCGGACAAGTCTTTGACGGGCTGGAGACATCACTGTGCTAGTGCAGGCAGGAGTTCTCGCTCTGTGTGGGAGATGGCAGTGAATGAGTGCACCCCAGAGGCCATGACGTATGTAGACACAGCAGAAAGCAGTTGTATTGTCCCTGTGTTAAGAAAAAGAAAGCTGAACACTGAGCCTCTGGGGGTTCAGATCTTCGGGGCTCCTGGGTAGATGTCACATCATTAGGTACCTACTCTGATTTTTCTCCAGAAACTTTCAGTGCTACCTGGCCGTGCAGCATCCTGACTACACAACGCAGAGTGGAGAAACTGAGGCATAAGGAAATAAAAACTGGGGGAGAAGAAGTCTGGGGCTGTTTTAGGTTGTATTAAACACTTTCTAGACCAGACAGAGAAGGTTTTATAGACTGGTGATTTCCACTTTCTAGGTTATACTGCACAATATTGCCTCCAGCGTATCGCTCCTTTTTACAGGGAAACTTTTTAACTGCCTTTTTGCTTTCTCGAAGCAGGCAAGCAGCAGGAAGGAGCCCCATTCCTTGCATGACATATCTCCCCGTGCTTCCCAGCGCAACATAACCACGCAGGTTTTATCAGCTCTCCAGCTTTCCTTTGCCTTACAAGGAGTGTGATCTCTCTTGCACCTCTCTGCCCCCCTGGCTTGACAGCTGACAGAGCACAGACTCGCATTTCTCACCAGCTCCCAGCAGTTTCATTCGACTTAATGGAGCTGGCTGCATCCTCCTTCCTAGACACGTGCTTCGCCTGCCTCATCCTGGGTGCTGACCTTGTGTCAGGCTCTCTCCAGCAACACTCACTGTCATCTTCCAGATCTCATTTTCACACGTGGTATTGTCTGCTGAGGGTCATCCTGCTTTAAAGCAAGCCTTTAAAGCAGCCCTCTAATCCTGCAAGTGCCAAGAAGCAGCATGGATTTTGTCAACAGCTCATACAATGCTGCTGAAGGAATTCAAGAGCATTTTAAATGGACTGTGATAGATGTAAATATGCTTAAGTAGGTTTATATATATATATCTGTATGGTGGAGAGGCAGGACAGTCTTGGGGCTGGGGAAGCTTGGGCTGTGGGTCTGATTGCTGGCTGTGGCACAGCCTCCTCGTGTGATCGTCGATACAATTTTTATTTCCTTATGCCTCAGTTTCCCCACTATGGGCTGTGGGCAATGGTAACGTTCCCTTGGTAATTAAAAGCCTCTGTGATCAGTGAACTTTTTGCAATGAGGAGAACTATCTCCTCAGACCAGCAGTGTCTGAGTGATTGGAATTTAAATTCTCCTGTACAATCAAGCCTGGCTGGAGGCAGAGACAAAGTGGGCAACTGCCTGGAGAAGCAGACAGGTGGAGACAAAAACTTTGTCTAGCAGCAATGCAGAAGTCCCAAAATCCTTTAGGTGGGAGACCAAAGATTGCCCCCTTCTTCTTCCCAGTGAATTAAGTCTGAGGAACAAGCAGCTGGACAGGTGGAAGGGACACATGGGGGAGATTTCCCCTTGATCTGGGACCTTGGACACTCTTGGAAGGAGGACATGAGGTTAGGCTTCTTCAGCAGTATCCTCTGATGCGTTCCTCCCCCGGCCTTGGTTATGGTTACATAAATACAATTGTATGATGCTTCTTGGAAACTCTGATTTGGATCTCCGTAAAGAAGAAACCTGCTGCTTTTGAAAGGTGTTTCCCTGCTGTCCCATGACTGACTAACTCACAGCAAACCTCTCAGCTTGTTAAACTGCAGAGCCGGCAGCAGGAACACTTGCTGCTGGCATCAGAGAAAGACACGTCAAGCTTTTGGATTTGGAGGAGAAATCTGTATTGCTAGTGCAGCTGCAGGAAAGCTTTAAGTGACCTAAAGAGTGTAATGCTAAAGCTTACAGCAGACTAAACAGGGAGGACTCTGTGCCCTAAGAGCAGAGCATGTCCTCACATCAGGCACTGTGCTCCTTATGTTTAACGTGTAGCAACACCTCCAGTCAGTGCCGTATTCTGTGCCACCGACCAGCACAGTGATGTTCTCAGCTCAGCAACGCATCAGCCTTATGAAGATGAAAAATCCCCTGGATTTATTAATAACATGCAATTGTGGTCATAAGTGCAAGTATTGCTCCCTAAACTTGGCATTACAGTCAGCCCACCCCTTGTCTTACCCCAGCCAGTGCTCCTGCGAGCTCTTGAGAGTTCGTCTGTCTTCTGTCTTCAGCTGTTTGGTGTTTCTTTCCATCTCTGAGCAGCTGGAAATCCACTTGTCCCTTGGCAGTCATGCCTGGGAATCTACGGAGTGACTGGAAGCTTGCCCTGGTCCCTCAGATCTTCACTGACCCGTGCTGAGCATCTGTCTGGAGTCACTGGGATCAGGAGAGCCCCAAACCCACCCAGCCTGGGGCTCTGTGCTGCCATCTCCGGAGAGTGGGCAGCCAGGAGATGTGCCACAGCCAAGAGAAGGAGACGATATAAGCACAGTGCTGAGAAGATTACCTTGAAGGAGACTGCTCTGTTGGCTTCCTTAAGTCATTTCCAACACAATGGCACCATTGCCAAGTGCAGTGCCTCCAGTAAAGCTACACTTGGGGCTCAGTGCCAAAGAGAAGCGAGAAGCAAAGCTGCCTTTGAATCCATGGAAATGTACCTTGGTTTCAAGCAACAAAAAACCAGGGTTTCCCTGTGCAACCACTTTGATCTGTCAGTCTTCACTGTGACACACCTCTGATCTACTCACTAGTAGAGTGTTTCTGATGTATATTCTTATCTCCACAGCGTGCCTGTGCGTAAGAAAAGCTTAGGAGAGCAGTTAGGTCAGCTCAGAGTCATGTTACTGTTTGGTCCCTCTTACCCGATGTTTTCTTAAGTCTCTTGGGCATGGTGGTGGCCCATGTGCGGCCCAGAAGAGCCTTAGTGCTTGAGATGGGTTTCGGTTCAGCCGAATTCAGAGGCTTTGCAGGCAGGTGAAGCTCTCAGTCTGGCTCTTTGCCTTCACACTCTTCTTTGTGCTGGCCTGAGGTGCAGGCTCATTAGGTCTCTGCTTTCTGCTCAGCCAGTGGGTGGCTGGTGCTTCAGCATGGGCCAGACGGAAGACAAAAGCAGGCTGGAAATCCTATTAACAGTGGTGGTGCTGAGGAGGAGCAGACGAACTGCAGACAGGAGGGCTGAGAACGAGGAATGTTTTATTGCTGTCCTTCTTTAAACAAAATACTTGTCTCTTCAACTTAGCCAAAGAGCACTGGGCAAACACACAGGGATTAAGCTCAGTGAGATGTTTCTTCATCCTCCCAAAAAATCTCGAGGTGTCCATTCTTAGTGGCTGTGGGGAGCCCAGGGATGCAAAGCCTGCAGGACCCTCTCTGGGTGGGGCTGGCCCCTCACTGAGGTGCAATCCAACAAGTCTTTCTGTACTTCCAGCCTGACTCATGTCATCTGTCACACCTGCTTCAAACGGCAGGAGAGGCTCCACCGCTGTGGCCAGTGCAAATTTGCCTACTACTGCGACCGGACCTGCCAGAGAGCAGCTTGGCTGAACCACAAAAATGAGTGCTCTGCTATCAAGAAGCATGGCAAGGCACCCACTGAAAACATCAGGTGAGAGCTGACAGCCAGGGGGTGGTGGGAGAAGACAGGACATCACTTCAGAGGGTGGTGAGAGATTTGGGTGGCCTGAGTTGGGTGGGGTGGAGGTGGGACAGGGTTTAGGAAAGGCCAGGAGCATCCCTGAGCTGGAGGAGCATCAGGGATGTGAGGGCATGCCCCCGCATTTTTTTTGGTGTTTAGCCCCAACAATTTGACTGTAGTTGAACATGGTGAGGTAAACGTGCCCAGAGTGGTTTAGGAGGTGTGGGAAAAGAGGGAATAGGTGGAAAAGGGGAAGAGGAGATGGGGTCTTCCCTTATTTGCCTACAGGATAAATTGATTTGGTTTCACATCTGGCTCTGTCGTAAGAAAATGAGAGGAATCCCCAAGGAAATTAGAGCCATCGTGGAGGGCTGGGCATGTGGGGCTCTGTAGCACTTCTCCAGATGAGAACACAGATGCAGAGCAAAACCTCACATCTCCCTTTCCTTCAAAAGCTCCTGGATGGTGACCAGCCCTCAGCCATCCGATGCTGAGCCTGTCTTGGCCTGTCTGCACACGATTTCCCACCCATGAAATGAATTTTAGTGGTCCTTTAGTCCCTTTTCTTTCAGTGGGGGGTGGTGGTGCTAACGCCCTGGGGCTCTCTCCTGCCCAGGCTGGCTGCCCGCATCATGTGGAAGATAGAGAGGGAAGGCAGCGGGCTCGCAGAAGGCTGCCTGGTCTCCATCGATGACCTGCAGAACCACGTGGACAGCTTTAGCGAGGAGGAGAAGAAGGAGCTCCGTGCCGACGTGGAGAGCTTCCTTGAGTTTTGGCCAGCCCAGAGCCAGCAGTTTGGCATGCAGTACATCTCCCACATATTTGGAGTGGTACGTTGGAGGGATGGGAGAGCAAATGGGGGGCTGCTTTTAGAGCAAGTCTCCAACCAGCCGGAGTGGAGGAGGCCTCAATTCATCCCTCTCTTGCCCGTAAGAGGGCATAGCAGTTGGCAGAGCTGAGACTGGCATTTGCTACAGGCCCATTGCCCATCTGCGTTGCTTTTGCCCTGACACTGGGAAACTGAGGCACGGCAGAGGCAAGGTATGAAACCTTTCATCTGTCTAAGCATGCAGGCAAGTGGCTCACTCAGCCATTGGTGCTGCATTGTCATCCCCAGTCCCACCGAGCATCTCGCAGCACCCGGGAGAGTTGAGAAAATCTATTTAAATATATTTTTTCACTAAATACGTGTAGAATATATGTAAAATGTTTCAGAACTGTTTTAGTATATGCGTTATTGTCATGCGTTGTGTGCATTTGATTTTTACATGCATATTTTAAATTTTATTATAAATATATTTTAGTATTGCATGTTTATATGGTTATACATAT